CTCCTTCCGTCCCTCCCTCCTCTGGGTGGGGGTTGATCCCCTTTGTCTGGGAGATGTCCTGTCCCCAGGGTAGCTTGTGAAATGTGCAGTTTTGCTGAGGAACCACAATAACAACACTCCTTGCTCGTTTTTTTTTCTTTTTTTCTTTTTTTCTTTTTTTTTCCTGAAGGTGGATTTGTTGCTAGTGGGGTGATTACTACTCTCTGGAGCAGGGGAGCGTCAGCCCTTAGAGGATTCCTGAGTGAGAAGGAATGCACAGACTTGGGAAAATTTAGCAGGCACGCCAAGAGAATGCCGGGCACCCTGTGTTTTGCCAAAAGCCATCTAGAATTTCCTGTTTTCCAAGTCTCAGATGTAACTTCACCTTTTGGGGTCACGTTTTCTCTGTTCCTGGGAATCTGGGACTTTCTATTCCTGATTTCTCTAAGGACTATGAAAGATATTCAATGAGCTTATTAAGTACACAAATGCTTTTTTTTTTAGCACTATTCTTTATGAGTGGACTCAATGGATCTGAAACCATATGCATTCAATTTCCCTTTAATTATTTATCAGCTTGGCATAAAGGAGGGGAAGCTCCATCAAGCCTATAAAGGATTTCATTCTATCCTTAAACACAGCAAAATAATTTTGGATGTTTAATAGTCTGTGAACAATTAAAAACTTACATGAAATACCTTACATTTAAAATGGCTTCCAGTCCATAGAAACCGAAATATCATAATTTGTGTTTCATCTCATCTTCAGCTGTCTCTGAGTGTTGGGATATATAATAGAAGCCTTTAATAGTCACAGAGGGAAAAACAGCAAACAAATGGATACTTTTATATTTTTAGGAAAACATCCTTAAGGTCTCCTCAAAGATTAAAATATATATATATATATTGTTAGTTGTTTCTGAATAGGGAAACAAAGGCAAACACAAACTCTCAATGACATAAAGTTGGATTCTTCAGAAATCTTCGAAGGAAATCTCAAGTCTACAATCTGCTTACTCTTTCCTTCAAATTTCCAGCCAGCCTAGTACTTATTTTAATTGAAATGTACCCACATGTACTCAGAAAATGTCCTCCGTGATACTCCGTCTAAAATAGAAACAGGACAAGGCTTCCCTGAAAAATCATCCTGTGATGATTCTGGAAGTGCTCAGACATGTCACCTATTGTTAGAGCAGCATGAGCTGCGAAGGCTGGGAGGCATCTTCTGGCTCCCCCCTCTGCTGGAAAACAGGAGCTGGGGCAAGACTATTAACTGGAATGACCCTAAATTCACGCATATAGGTTCTCCCCATTCTTATCTCCTGTACAGGATTCCCGTGTAAGCTGTAATCGGCTCTTACAGGCACCTCTGTTCATATACACTCACTTCCCTCCTGTTGAATTTGTGTTCCTGGCGTTTGTCTAACACTGAAGTGGACTTTTTATAAGCAACTTAGAAGATTTCTTGCCTTCTTTTTCAGCTCGCTGCTGCAAGCTCTACTCCTGGGGCCTACAGCAGTACCTTCTGACTAGTGGAAGCTTCTGAGGCCCAGATGGCTTGTATCTGTGTGTCTGGGAGTTTGTCATGAGACGGTTTTCAAAAATGCACATCAACTTGATAGTTACAAGACCGTGATATTCATAACTTCACCTTGTTGATGACAGAAGTCTAGAATTTGGGGGAAAAAAATTCTTTGTGAACTCTTGATCACGTTCCACACAGTCAGATACACTAACAATTCCAAGGGAACTCCGGAGCTCAGTTGCCGTGATGGTCTTCATGCTGCTTAGCAGAAGGTGGCAAGGCCAGCATGAGGAAGGTAGGAGGAATGTCCATCTGCTGGGAAATGGAATGGGTGGTTAGTGGTGATCTTCAACAAGCTTGTCTTTCCAAAGAGACAGAAAGGCATTTGTGAAGCTTCTATGTGTCACACTTTCCTTCTTGATGCAATTTTGATAATCGTTTGTCTTAACAAAGCCTAGAGCGGTGTTGAAAGAAACAAATGAGCTAATGGTTATGAAAGCACTGCTTGAAAATGCTATATAAATATCATGCTGTCACCAGCTATTTGTGAGATTGGGGAGGGAACAACTGGCTTCACACACATACAGAAATAACAACAGGCTGACTTCACCTTCAATACGAACTTCGTTTCAAAGCTACTGATAGCTTGGTCATTATACTCAAACTAGAAGAGGGTTTTCAGGAAAAGGTAAAATCATCTCCCTATGCGGATTTCAAATAAATGCATGTTAAAGAATGTATTTCACTCAGATGACGTGAAGGAGCCAGGCAGATGCAGAACCCCTTCAAAGGAAATGTGAGAAAAGCACAATTGTATGTGTGATAAAGGGAGCCGGTTGCAAATGGGGACAAAACTGGAGGGAAGGGCGGGTGGGGGAAGGAGGAAGTCAATTAAATCACTACCAGAAAGGGTAGAACTTGCATATTTATCAATTACCTATAGCTTACGAAGAATTACAGAAACAAAAACAAAAAGCCCCCCCCCCCAGACAATGCCCAGGATTAGACTCTGCTAATCCTGAAGGATATGCTCTAGATGATACAGTTTTCCACTGAAGTACAAAACTTGTTCTACACACGCAAAAGCACAGATTCTTGAGATCAGGGTCCAGCACATGCACCAAATCCACCCCAAGAGACTATTTTCGTAAATAAGGTATTAGTGGAAGCCAGTCACGCCCACTCATTTGTGTCCCTTTGGTGCCACAGCGCAGCTAAGCAGTTTCTACGGAGACCATCTGGCCCTCAAAGCCTAAAATACATTATTTGGCCCTTTATAGAAAAGGTTTGCTGATCCTTGCTTTCTATCAATACATAGAGTTCTCCACCATAACTAGCTGATGATCCATTTATTTTCTAAGTAAAGCATATCCAGGTAGGGCGCTGGTGTCCCCATATCAGTGAAATTCTCCTTTGCCGTGAACCTTTGTCTTCCAATGAGCCAAATCTTTGTGTTGGTCATCAAACATCATACACCCCCCCCACAAAACCAGCTGCCACCAACCTTCTTTATTATTTGGGTTTTGGTTCTTTTTTTTTTTTTTTAATGTTTTATCTTTAACAAGTTGGCAAGCAAATATATTGCTGAAATCTGGGGACATGTCCATCCACGTGTGGGATCTCTACTATGAATGGGCGTGTTCAGATCATCCTTCAGGCTCAGCGTGGCACAAATTCTACACCATCAGGTGCACAAAAGTCTTCCCATAATTTTCGCCTCTCTGAATTCATTTTAATTGACTTTATTTTCTGCCATCAGAGAGAAAGGAGGACTTTCAAAGCTCTCCCAAAGATGTAACCCAGATTGCGAAGGTTCTGCATTCCTCCAAAATGACTCCTGAGCAACACAGCATACTTGTATAAATTAGGATGAGCTAACTTCTGTAACAGGGAGCCTCCAAAACATAGAGTAGCTTGGGCACAGTCCCCTGATGTAACAGAATTAAGCCAGTGAGTGAGTTCATGGATGTCCACCTTCTACCCCAGACACTGCTGTCGTCCTCATTCAGCTTGTAGGGCCACCCTGTGACCATTTGCACATTGGCTCACCGAAAGGAAGGTCTTATCAACCCAGTTTGGAACGGCTCCCGTCCTTTCTGCTCACATCCCTTATCTAAAATTCATTAGCGTGGATGTCTCCAGCTACTGGATGGGCCAGAAAACATGGTCTCTACTGAGAACAGCATCCTAAAGTGGATAGGGAGCATGGATGCTGGTCACCGATTACCCCCCTTCTGCGCTGTACCGGCCAGACAGGCAGGTCTCCTGATGCCCAAATCCATCCCCAGCATCACCAATAAAGCTTGAGATTTCTCCAACAGCAACACAAAGTCTGCTGTTCTGCGATTAGCAATGGTGCTGATTTTAAAATATGAACATGCCTGAAAAGGAGAGATAATGATAGGAAAATCATTCTCATTATGTGCAAATAATTTCTTTTAGCTTCGAGTGTTGATGAGATACAGTGGATTTAAGGGGGAAGAAAGAAGTGCTGGAAGGCAGTTCTTTGGGGGTTCCCTTGACTTGCTGCATGAGGTCTGGACACTATTTGTTGTGGACACTCTGGATGGACGTTTGTGGACCCAAGAGCCTTGAGAGTCAGTAACTGTGGCTCCCTTGGAGAAAGAGACAGGTTTGCTGACCATCTTGGGAGAAGGATAGGACCTCATTTTGGGGCATGGGGTGGGCAAGGACATTGTACAAGGTTGGGGATTCCAAGCTTTGGGTGTTGCCCTTGGCATGTAACTGTGATGTTTAATTTTGGACCAACACGATGGGCTTTGGGGTATCCAGGTTAAACATTATTTCTGGGGGTGTCTGTGAGGGCGCTTCTGGGTGAGATTAACACTTGATTCAGTGAATTGAGTAAAGCAGATTTCCCTCCCCTAAGTGGATGACCCTCCTTCAATCCATTGAGGGAATGAATAGGACAAAAGGCAAAGGAAGGAGGAATTTGTTCCTTGTTCTTCCTGCCTCACTATTGAGCTGGGACATCTCATCCCATTTTCTCCTGCCCACACACTGGGATTGACACCATAAGCTCCCCTGGTTCTTGGGCTTGAATTTCACCACCCTCTTTCCTGGGTTTATAACTTTCAGGGGCCAAATCATGGGGGCTTCTCAGCTTCCATTTCCCCATGAGCCAATTCCTATAATAAGCGTGTCTCTCACAACACAGCAACCTATTGTACATGCCAGTGTCAACTGGCCCTCCATGCAGCCCCATAGATGCTGGAACTTTGAAGAACCAGAACAAGAAAAATGACGTTATTTAGACAGCTGTGATTTCTGATAGTAATAAACTGTCCTTCACCTCTGACCCATGAGCCTCAAACCAGGACACTGCAGCTGGCTAACATTTTAACTTTACAAGTGAAGTCAAATTGCTGACCCTCCACAGCTCTTGACAAGAAGAAATCATCACAGCAATAGAAAAAAAGTGATACAGAGACAGAGGAAGGTTTTTTTTTTTTTTTATTTGTTATCTAGAGCCAGACTGGACACTCACAAATTTTAGAATAAATCCATCAATGAATATTTAATGTACACACTTGTGTAGACCTAGATCCATCTTCTTTGTGTAAAGGTAAAGAAGCAAAGGATGTTGCAGATGTATTACTTGTTACGTATGTCTGTTTTAGAGGCAGCCAATTATACAAATTACTTATCACACTAAGTCTATTACTTCCTTCTTTATATTTCTTTTTTATACTTTTATGTGTATCATCTGCTAGAGGATTCCAGATGATTCTTTAGAAGCTAATGACTGCCTCCTAACCATGAAGCAACTCAAGCATGGACCTGCCTAAGAATATACACAAATACACAGAAATACGAAAAGCCTGGACTGGCTGGCTGCAGAACTACCTCTCCTGCAGGAAGAAGCCAGCAGCGGACCATGGTGTATCATCAAACATCATGGATGTTCAGCTTTATCTGAGGTGTGGGGGCAAGATTTTAAACTGTGTTTTCAATCCTGATTATATCAGGTGTTGATGACAGCGCATCAAAACAAGGATCTTGCTAAATAGTAAGAGTGGAAATATAAGCTTGGAATTAAGACAAAAAATCAAAAAGCTGATGTCCCCAGCCTGGGTACAACACGTTACCTCACCAACGTGACCCTGTGGAAACCCAAGGGTGCCTCGTGATGGAATTGGTCAGTTTAGAGTAATAAAATTAAGTAATGGCTTCTTGGAGTCTAGTGGAGTCAGCCGTTAGTTACAGGGAATCCTTGCTGGGCTTACTTTCCCAAGAATCCACTTGATACGTGTAAGGACAAGAAAGGTCATTTTCTCCTCAAGCAGTTTTACTGTTTTGACTTTACTCTGGAGCAAATGATCCCTTCCTTCTTCAGTAAGTTGGATCATGCAGGGTACTTCTCAAAGTCAGTGATATCATATGATGCCAGCATATTAAAACCACATTCAGCTCATATCTCTTGATATTTGCCTAGAACGTGGCCCTTTCTGGCCTATAAGCACTAGATAAGACACCTGTGAACACATGCCCAGCTAAGAAAGCAGAACCAGAGCCTGTGTGTTTGCAAATCTGAGGCTATTACTCAGGTCTTAATAGGAGCTAAGACCTCAGCCTACAGGTGTCTTTCCATGAATGCTCCTGTGTTTCCAGAAATGATGAGCATTCACCACAACAGATTCCTATCAGTGTTACCTTCTATGGGAAACGAGACCTGGAAAGAAGATGCTATGGTCTTCCCAAGTCTGCTGTCTAATCTTTGTTGAGCTTAATGTATCACCTCCACTTGATCAGATCACCTATCACTGTGAAGTGGAGGTTTCTCAACAAGCCTGTGTGGTAAACACGGTGATTACCCCATATCACCAATGGGACCTGAGACACAGAATGACTAACAGGTGTCAGAGGCAAAGATTAGCACCCACACGTTCTGGATGGGAAGAGCAGACACAGGAATGTGGTCCAACGAGATGGCAGGGAAATAACAGGAAAATGGAAAGTTTGGGAATCTGAACTCATAGTCATTTGCTGTGTCTGGAGCTGACACATCTCCAACCTGCCCTTTGAAGATTACTCTGTGTAAAGAGAAGGCCCTGAGTCACCAAAAACCAAGAACACTCTCTTTGGGCAGGGTCCTTGTCTGTGGACCTCACTCGGGGAATTCCCTAGGCATTTCTTCGGAGGACAAAGCGACGTGGACCAGGTCAAATTCTTTAGGAGCTAATGAACCGTGGACAAGTGCAGTCTGGACATACATCTGATTGAGAGGGTGAAGACAGTCAAGTTAAGAAAGCATATGGTGTCCTCAGCCACCAGTGAGCTGCATCCCAGGGCCTCTTTGGGGCACCTTCCAAGGCTGGATCAGAGAAACTCAGGGGAGTTTTTAGCCAGGAGAGCTCTTGAACGGCCCGATGTGTGAATGCACTTCAGGAGTAAAGAAGACGGACATCAGGCAGGTGGATTCACGTTGAGAAAACACAACACAGCAGCCTGGATTCGGTCAAATTGTGTCACATCCTTTAAAGGTGCCCTACGATGCAGGAAGGTTACAGGTTGAAAGTATAGAACAAATAACCCTAATAGCTCGGTTACAGTCAGGCGAGGGAAATCCCTGGTGTTGGGTGAGGAAATTTGCCCACGGCCGGCACTTGCGTCCTGTCTAGAAAGAGCCTGGCGTGTGAGCCTCAGTCACAGGAGACATAAACACGTGTGTAAGTCAGGCAGCCGGACAAGGCAAAAGGGGCTGGGACTGGTCCCCACTTAGGGCTTTCAAATCTCAGAACCGGCCGTGATTCGGGGGATTCGGGGTGGGGTCCTGTCAGTCACGGATCCCACCCAGCAAGCCTCCCAGAGCTGCCGGCTCCTCCCCCCAACCCCTGAGGCCCGTGGGGGACAGAAGCGATGCCTACCATGGGAGACTCTTTCCTAACCATGAGGAGAGTTTAGCGGGTCCAGAGCTGCCAGGAAATAGCATCTTCGTTGACCTAGTTCACTTGGTTTCCTTAAATCCATTTTTCTTTAAATTAAAAAGAAAAGAGTCTACAGATATGAATAGCTCGGTTCTAAGAATATTCTGAAACCATGTCCGCAGACATCCGGCCCGATGCAGCTTTTCCCAGGGCCGCAGTCCCCCGCGCCCCCCACCCACACTCTGCCCAAGAAGCTTCCTGCCCTCCTGCACAGGGCATAAGGGAGGAGAAACACTTGCATTTATTCAGCATTTACCTTTTGCTTCTCTTTTCAACGTGCAGCATTTCAAAGTTTCCTCTGTGCAGTCGGGAGGGGGGGTAGTCAGAGCTCCGGAAAGCTAAACACGCCCATTGAAAGGCGTCGAATTTCTGGGCTAAAACTTTGATTCAAAGATCTCAAGTCACTTGGAAATGTTTAAGTAAATGATTATGTTTTGAAACAACCGTTTGAAGGACTGGTGCTGGACCATGGTGGCGTTTGGGGGACCAGTGTGTGTATGGAGGCCGTCTGCCTCTTGGTTCAGAGCCAAGGGGATGCTATGTAAGTTCAGCTTACATGGAGGGAGACTGGCTTTGGTTTTCTTTGTTCCTCTCTCTCTGTGTGTGTCCCGTTTCTCCCTCCCTTCCTTCCTTCCTTCCTCCCTCCCTTCCTTCCTTCCTTCCTTCCTTCCTTCCTTCCTTCCTTCCTTCTTTCCTTCCTCCTTCCTGTACAGTGAACACACTGCGTTACATTAGTTTCAGGCGTACAATGTAGTGATTCAACACTTCCATCCATCACTCTGTGCTCCCCACGAGTTCCCTCCTCCATCCCCATCACCTATTTCCCCCACCTCCCGCCTCCCCTCTGGCCACCAGCACATCTTCTCTGTAATTAAGAGTCTGTTTCTTGGCTTACTTTCTCTCTCTCTTTATCCCCCCCTTTGCTCATTTGTTTGGCATCTTAAATTCCTCATATAAGTGAAATCATACAGTATTTGTCTTTCTCTGACTTATTTCACTCAGCATAATAGACTCTAGCTCCACCCACATCGTTGCAAATGGCCGGATTTCATTCTTTTTCATGGCTGAGTAATATTCCATTGTATATACATAGACCACCTTTTCTTTATCCATTCAGCGGTTGATGGACACTTGGGTCATCTCCAAATTCTGGCCATGGCCAGTGAAGCTGCTATAAATACTGGGGTGGATGTAGCCCTGTGAATTAGTATTTTTATATCCTTTGGGTAAATACCTAGTAGTGCAATCACTGGATCTTAGGGCAGTTCTATTTCTAACTTTTCGAAGACCCTCCATACTGTTTTCCACAGTGGCTGCACCAATTTCCATTTCCACCAACAGCGCACGAAGTCTCCCCTTTCTCCGCATCCTCGCTGGCACTTATTTTTTCCTGTGTTTCTTATTTTAGCCATTCTGACAGGTGTGAGGTGACGTCTCACTGTGGTTTCCATTTGCGTTTCTAGGAGGGGGAGTTTCCCTAACGTTGACTGGCCATCCATGGAACAGTCTCCCTATTATAAAGGCTACCATTTCAGCTGAATGAGCAGCTGCCAAGACATGCAGACAGGACTTACTTTTCATGGAGAAGAAACTTGAACTGCATTAATTTCCAGGTTCTCCCTGACTTTGATATCTGAATGCGTATGTGTTATAACACAGAGACCATGGTATAGGCATCGCTATCAGCCTTCTACTGTGACAGTCTCTCCGGACAGGTCCGGAGCCCCCTAAGCAATAACCTTGACACCATACGTGTGTCAGAGTTCATTTTTTGTCTAATTTTAGCAGGAGCTGAGGTAGCGTTCTGTTTTCTAAATACATTCCTATTTACCTACCTGTCTACATGCCTTTTATAGATTATGAGGAACATAATGTAAATTCTGGTTGGGTTTTGCTGCCAAGTTACTTTGGACATCACACAACTTTGTGTTTTGAGGCCTTTTTTGATGTTAGGACTGTAGAGGAGCAGCCCATGCCGTTAGGCTTACAATCAGACATTCCCAGGGTTCAACCGTCGCCTCCCTCTGTGACCTCCAAAAACCTTTTCATCAGTTTCCCTACATGCAAATGGGCCTCGCTAGCAACTATCTCTTCGGGATGTGAAGGTGGGGCTGGGCAAGTCTGAGACGTGCCCCCCTGTGATAACCCATGTCCAGACCTCTGGCTGGAGACACAAAGTCTGTGTTTCTGCTGGTCAGGTGGGCAGCTCAGCAGAGGACTCATCCCGTCCTGCAGCGAGGCCTCTTGGGATCCGCATCCATGTGGTCTTGTATGTACCCAGGACCGGACTCCAGTTTCCTTAAATTACAGCAAATTACATGGAAACTAGAGAAACGCAGTTGAGAGATGAAAGGCCCGTGAGCTTGTCGACGGCTCTTACGGAAGGAAAGCAGGGTGGACGCAGGCCTTTCTGGTCTCAGAGAGCCCCGGGCCAGCAGGGCTGGAGACCACGCTTGGCGGCCACTGCTTTTCCCGGGTTCTTATGCATTCAGGGTCTCTGTCTGACCTTTGCAGTGGCAGATGGCAAATGAATAATAGTATAAATAATAAATAATAATATATAATAAAGTATAATAATAATAAAGAAATAATAATAACAATGATACAGTAGTGAAGTTGTAATAAAATAACAATGATGATGTACTGAAACCGAAGACGTACCTCGCCGGACCGAGCTGCCAATGCAACAGCAGACCGTCACATCCCAGATAGTTTGCGTTCGATGAGATGAGTCACCCTGCACCAGTTTTCTGAATATCCTGTTATACTTGTTTGTGAATTCCTTTCCCGAAGCTGGGTGTTTGTAGTGTGGCACACCTGTTGTCATAGGGAGGAGAGCGCTGCTCAGAGATGGGCAGGCATGGTCCGACGCACTCGGACAGTCCCATCCCAACCCCATCCCCATCCCAGCAGCCAGGCCTCTCCCACAGAAGGCAGTCACGCTGCTTGGGAGCCGTGTTCGAGAGCCTGAGGCTGGCAGAGGGTCTGCAACAGGCTCCCCGGCTGGAGGACACATTCAGCAATGCAGGCTCGATCCAAATGGTATTGCAGGCAAAATCCAATTTTAATCTGTCCTGTTGGCTCTTGGAGTGTTAGATTTAACAGCAGTTTGGAAAGCTCCAGATGCCTTTGACCTCCCCTCAAAGTGGGCTTGCCCTTGGGGCAGAAGCCTTGACAACTCCCAACAGAATTTGTTTTAAGGCGCGTTCTCGAAGCATCTTTGTTGAGCCATGAAAAGGCAGTTTGCTGTTCCCTTGGGGGTCCTGTGTTTCTGTGCTGGCACGGCGGGCAGGAGAGGGTGGTGTGCGAGGTGCAGGGGGTGCAGGTGACCCAGGGGCTCACGAGAAACTGCAGAACCATCCGGCACTGGCCACTGCTAGACAGGGGGCCCCGCGCGCACCTGCTGGGGTGCATCTATCAAAGCACAGAGCCCGCAGACTGGGTGACTGCGTTATGCTCAGAACTCCCCACCAAACAGCTTCCCCGCAGGAGGGCAGGTACTGCGCTTCCTCCAGCCGCAGCCTCCGTAGGTCTTACATCTTCCCGATGGCGCCCTCGAGCCCGCCTCTCCCCCCTCGGCCCGGGGACAGGGGAGTCCCGCAGGCAGAAGCAGACCTGGAATTAGGCGAAGGCGGAGGAGGGAGGACAGGAACAGTAGGCTCCAGGCACTGTGTGCTGCGCCCTGCGCCCAAAGGAAGTGCCATGGATCGGGTCCTCAGTGCCCGGGGCTCCGCGCTCCTTCAGCCGCTCCAGGTCGTGAGGGCACGAGCGATGCAGGAGGTCATCACGGGCACCATCCCCACCGGGCGCCTCGGTTCACCATTGTGTGACCTGCAGAGAAGACCGAGTGTGTTTTCGCAGCTCAGATCACTGTGATGCCTCCGCAGGCCCGGGGCGACTTGCATCTGAAGGATGTCAGGCACCCTCTGAGCGGTGGAGTCGCGGCCTGTGGCCTTGGCAGCTGAGTGAACGGGGCCCAAGCCACCTGACGCTCTGAACCACCACAACCGCGCATGGTGCTCAGTGACAGACTGAGAGGAACCCAAGGATGTCAACGCCCGGCCCCTCGGGAGTCTGTGGGCAGTAGCAAATTGAATAAAAAATGGTATGATGTCAATCTTACTTTTTAAAATATATTCTACTAATGTGGTTAAGAAAAGGATGATTGGTTCATTTTTTAAAAGTCTTAAACGGGGAAGAAGGGGAAAGACACAGGCAGAAAGCAAAGGAAACAAACAGTTGGAGGAGAAGAGTGGGAAGAGCTACATATAAGTTGAATAAAAGGAAGGAAGAGAAGAGACAGGGAGAAGGGGACACAGATAGAAAAAAAGAATAAATAAAGATGGGGCACCTGGGGGGCTCCACCGGTGAAGCATCTGCCTTCTGCTCAGGTCATGATCTTGGGGTCCTGGGATCGAGTCCCGAGTCGGGCTCCCTGCTCAGTGGGGAACCTGCTTCTTCTCTCTCCCCCACTCGTGCTCTCTCTCTAAAATAATAATAATAATTAATAATAATAATATTAATAATAATATAAAGAGAGAGAGAGATTGGAGTCCGGAGAGGGTCTGAGTGTCCAGCAGGTGGCTCGGCACCGTCCGGGCTCTTCGACCAAAGCTGGGAGCCTCTCCTCACTGTCTGTTTCTTCACCAGCACAATGAAAATCACAGCAGCGTCTTCACTTCATGTGGTTCGAGGAACTAAATGAGATGATCTGTAATTCTTGCCCTACTGAGGGCACATGACAATTTTAATCATTGCTTCTATTTGTATTAACCGGAACAATAAATACTATTATTGCTAATAGTGCCTTACAAAGGCTGTTTCCCTGATGAGTCATGTTTTGGCACCTGGCTCCTGCAGCAACTAAAAAGACTGAAATGACCACAGGTGCATCTTCGGCAGAAGCAGAGAGGCAGGTAAACGGAGAATTTTGGTTGAGGGAGACTTTGTTTTAGGGTCTCCCAACAACCGGCAGATCTGGTCCCCCCTGAGAAGGAAAAGGGGGGTAAATCGGTAACATACGCCGTACTTCCCGGCTCCAGCCAAAGGCTTGATGAGCTGAAATGCCACATAATCGACTACAATGCAATTATGAGATCACGGGTAGATATTGCATGACCTCCACATCCCTGGAAATCAGAACCCCGGCAGTAATCCAGTGGGCACCTCAGTTATTGGTTGGTAATGTTAAAAATTACCTAGAGATCTCGATATTGTGATCGTTATAGCATCTTGTCTCAAGCCATAAAGCTTTCTTCGGATAAAAAAGGCCAAGGGTTCACGTTTTCCTTCCTGACTATGATGCACCTGTTTTTCCAACACCTGAAGATGATGAACTCATGGGTAGATGGATTTTCTAATGGTCCAGAGGAGGCTGAGGCATTCCGAACGGCCCCTTTCTAGATGGTCCCCCCAAGGGACCTGTGCAGATATGGGGTTGGGTCCTTCTATGGGGGCCCGTCCGTGGCTTCTTCATGCCCAGCTGCCATCTTGGTGCAAGCTTTACAGGGAAAGGTACACAAAACTCAGAGGAGAGACACAGTCTGTATTTCTGGGGGGAAAAAAGTGAACTGATTGGAGCTCCTGCACATAGAGAAACCTTAGATATTCACTAGTGACCTTTTCATTGAATTTGGGGCGACCTTTTCCTGCTAGGGTAATGGATGATCAGCTTGGCTCTTCCCCTTTAAACTGCAACATTGCTGGACACCAAGGCTGCGGCCTCTCTCGGCAGGACCGTTCACACCGAGATGTTTTGATCCAGACGCTAACGCTTGCGTCTCAGAATGCCAAGCCCGTGACGGGTTCCACGGTCGTTCGCACCTGAAATTGCCAATTACGGAGTCCAAGACACAAACCTACAAGCAAACATTTTCCTTTAAATGCAGTCTATCAGCCTCCTTCATTAAAGTCGATTTTTTTTTTCCATTTTGATAATGCAGTGATGAGCAACAGTCCATTGTACCGGGGTATTTACCATGTTTATGAAATGTTCAGAGCCTCGTCTAACGATGCATTAGCCCTTAGCCAGCTGCAGTCCTGCTGACAGCACCAATTAGTGAGAATCCTCTAATGAACCACAGACCCTCCTTCTCGGGGCACGATGGGGGTGGGCTATTAGTAGCCTCCCTGAAATCCTATGGAAACCATGCTGCACGTGCATGCTTAAAATTATAAGCCAGGGGCACCCGGTGCCTCAGTGGTGGAGCATCTGCCTTCAGCTCAGGTCCTGACTCCGGGGTCCTGGATTCCAGTCCCCCATCGGGCTCATCATAGGGAGCCTGCTTCTCCTTCTGCCTGTGTCTCTGCCTCTCTCCCTGTGACTCTCATGAATAAAAAAAGAAAATCTTTTTTTTTTTAATAAAGAAAATCTTAAAAAAAAAAAAAAAAAAAGCCCAGGGAGACTAGAACTTGCGCCTTGAGGGTGAAGAAATCCAAAGCCACCCAGCTGGCGCTGCATGGGGTCTTCAGAGCAGATCATCCTCTGTGAATAAGGAGTAAATCTTAGAAAACACTCCAACTTCGGCCATCCGTGGAACGTGGAGGTGCTTGGTGCTCTGTCCGCCACCCCCCTACTGACAAAGGACGTCGTGAATCAGGACACGGCTTCCCTGGGGGACCCGTGGAGCTAACCTCCAGGTGGTGCATCAGCACGTCTGTATCAGCCTTCCAGTGCCAAAGAAGGGCCCAAAGGACCAAAGACCCCTACCATCTCCCTCTTTCTGTGGTATTTGCACCAGCCGGTACAATTCACCGAGCCACGGCCCATGCCTCCCAAGTCATTATTTTATGCTCGACTTTGGCATATTTTAAAAGAAATGTTTCAATCGTCATTCTTCACCGTACTGGGTTAGGATTCAAGACACCTGGGTTCGAGGCCTGGCCTCACTTTCTGACCGCAGCCAGCCCCGCTTTTCTGAGCTGGAGAATGGGTGGAAATAATGATGCCTTGTTGGTCAACCTTCCAGGATAGTTGGGAAGGGCAAATGCAAAACTGGATATTCAAGTGCTTTGAGAAATCATGAGCCACTAAAGAAGTGTGAGGTATTATTTAAGACTTTCCTTTGGAAGGGGGGCAGGATACACCACCTAGAATATACCACTTTGGCAGAAGGATGATCTTGGCTGAAGGCCCCTGAAAAGCGTCAGGTCCAAGACGGTGGTTTGCTCTCCCTTCCTCTCCTGGAAGCAGGAGGGGGGACCCCACGTGGACAACGTGCTCCTGTGCCCGGAGCAAAGTCACATCCTCATCAGCAAGGACCAGGAGTGGAAGCCGAGAGAATTCTGTGCAACAGACCTTGTGGAAATGATCCCGCCTCCATTTAGCATCCTTGTGTATTGAGTTCTTCCCTCCTATCCTAGTCCTACATGGAAACTATAGAAGCTAAAATAGGAGCAAACACCTGTGGGACAAGACTGGCAAAGCCGAATCCCTGAAGCCCCCGGGAGCACCATGAACACAGTAGGTCCACCCTCCGGGCTCTTGTTTCTCCAGGAAGGATCCTCAGACTGGATCCATCTGTCCGAGGTCAGAGCCATCACCCCAGCTCCTAGGGGTGGAGGTGGTACTTGGCTTATTGCCGTGAATGTCGTCTGGGGGACAAGACATCAGGTCCTGCTGGGCTGGTGGTGTTTGGAGATGCACACGACAGTCAGAAGGTGGCTTGGAGGACATAGAGTCAGAGCAAGACAGTGATGGGAGGTTGTTGATTCAATTATAAGTGGCCTCCAGTGACCCTCCAGGACAGAGTTGTGCCTCCCATGGGCAACCACATCTAGCCTCCCAGTGGTCACAGCCAGCCCTCCTGCTCTGACTTACCTTTCCTAAGGGACACCCAAGGGACCCACCGCCCTTCCTACTGGTCCCTCTGTCTCAGGCCACGCTACAGAGCACAGGCTGGAGGGCTACTCTGCCTCTTTAAGATGACTCATCAGTGAATGGTTGATTCCTCACATTTACTTCTAGACGACAATTTCAAATGGTCCTGGGAGAACGATCCAGAACGGAAAGGTAATTGCTTATGAAATTCCAAGCTGTCAGGTAGTAGTTAAAAATACAAGAAGGGCAAGCTTGAGCATATTCTTAAAATTCTGACTCCGCATTCATTTTGTCAGATTGCATCCTGTGCTTCTTCCCCCTCATCCCCTCCTCTTCCTCCTCCTCCTCTCTTCCTCCTCCTTCTCCTCTTCTCCCTCCTTCCTCTCCCCTTCCTCCTCCTCTCCTCTTTCCTTTCCTTCCCCTCTTCCTCCTTCCCCTCCCCTTCCTCTTCTCCTCCTCCTCTCCTCTTTCCTTCTCTTCCTCCTCCTCACCCTTCCATCCCCTCCCCCTCCTCCTCCTCCTCTTCTCCCTCCCCTTCCCTCCTCCCCTCTTCTTCTCCTCTCCTCCTCCTCCTCCTCTTCCTTCTCCCTCTTCCCTCCTCCTCCTCACCCCTCTTCCTCCTCCTCCTCCTTCTCCTCCTCTTCTCCCTCTTCTTCCTCCTTTTTCTTCTCTGTCCCCTTTTTCCTTTGGTTCGTATCTCAGCGAAATCACACACGTGTTGCTCAAGGAGGACACATTCTGCTCTAGGCCCTCAGCCACCACTCGGCACTCCGGGTTATCTTACCTGGGACAGGATTGGTGGGAGGGGGCTCCACAGGTACACCCCGCCTAACATCCAAGACACAAGGTAAATATTTGCTTAGTGACAGAAATTTCTAATTCCTCTTCGCTGAGCTAAGCTGAGAGAATTTTTCCTGGCAGCTCTGCTCAGTTAGAGACATTTTCTGATAAACTGAAACTGTATTTTACTGGATTCTTCATCCATAAAATTAGGTGGTTAGACTAGATCATCTCCAGGGGATTTCCGAGCTCTAAAATGGTACAATTCCATGGTTTTAGGATGTGGGGGCTGAGATTTTCAATTAAACTTTGCTCAAAAAGGATTATCAAGCATTATCTTGACTGATCACAGGAAAGGGGCATTCCATCCTACCCACGCCAAGCTCAGCATCCAGGCTTATTTACTTCTTGCCAATTTACTCAGAGTTTCCGTCAACCAAATAGTATTCTACAAAATTTACTTGAAGGGATAGTTCAGTATAATTCAAAATAATTAGGATGGCCCAAAGTCAATGTCACTGTTGTGGTTTTGTTTTTGCTCACTCACTTGCAGACAGGTAAATCTTATTTGGAATGTAACCCATGTCAGGTCACGAGCGACAAACGACAGTGCAATTTTTAAATACATATAATATAAAATCAGTGTATTCCACATCGTATTAATCTGTCCTGAGAAGCTAGTCAAAGAGACATGATTCTCAAAGGTTGAACCATTCCCTAGCAACTAAAGTCCGTTTAGAGTCGGTAACACTGGAGATAAATGGTTTACCTGTTGCAACACTCTATTGGTATTTGATTTGTGTCCTAAGTGGTGCTTTCTCTTTCTCCAAATTCAGCAAGAAGGGACCACTGAAGTCTGCTCAACTCCTGTTACATGTGTCACATGTGGATGAAGTATGACCTATTTAAAGAAATCCAGAAATGAGCAGAGGGTGCGAGGTGGGGCTCATCTCTGGTTCCCAAACTCAAATGAAGGTCAGACTCTTTAGCAGATCATCAAAAAGTCCTGATATCCAGACAGCAATCAATACCAATTGAGTCAGTGTGTGAGGAAGGTCAGGCATTAGTG